GTTTTCGAAAATGTCTATTAGGAAGCGATCTGGCCTATAGGAAACGAATATGTAATATAAGATATATCTGTTTATATGTTCATTACATTTCAAAATAATTTTTACTTTTTAATTTTTGACAGATGTACCTGTTCTTATGCCACTGTGTGTTCTAATAAATACATTAATTCAAACAGTCGTAAAAAAATAATCACCATTGACATTTTGTTTACCACACACAACATTAAGTTATTATTTAATTCAACCAGTTAATTCATTACTCGACAATCAAAAGCATTTTAACTTATTAATTACTTTCAACGAGATTATGAGATGACCATCCTAATTCACCTTGTTAGGCATAACATATAATTAAAGGATACAGAAACATAGTAAACCAAACAAGCTTATCAAAATGCCTCAAGCCAACGAGTTGCCACATCAAGTTCAGGGTTTTCCTTAGTAAACACTTAAGTTAAGGAAACTCCGCCCTTTTTACCTAAGTGGTATGCATAAAAAATCTTAAACTAAGTATTTCCTTAGGAAAATCTTAGTTGTTTAAAGTCACGCCCATAAAACTTAAGTGGTATGCATAAAACCCCTTATACTTAGAAAACGCCTAAGATTACACTTAAGTCTAAGGTACCTATAGTGCTACCTTAAATTTTCAAAAATAGTTAAAAATGAGTCGAAAGTATGCGTTTTCTGCATTTTCTGCAAAACATTTATATATTAGCTACAATTTGATCGGTTGAATTTTCAATTATTTAGTTCTATTCTTAAAATGTAGGGCAAATTTACAAAATCGGAAAGTTTTAAAATCCTACCCAGAAGCGGATTTAAGGGAGGGGGAAGGGAAATCCCTTTTGAGGGAACAATTTGGTTGGTTATTTAGGAAATCATTTGAGCTCTTAGTGCAGTCTGTGCCCCCCCCCCCCCCCCCCCCTTATGCAAATTTATGAATCCGCCACTACTACCCCATGCAGGGGCGGATCCAGCCATTTTCAAAAGGGGGGTTCCCAACTCAGGATAAAGGGGGGTTCAAACTATTATGGTCCGCATTCAAATTCATTGATCGTCAAAAAGGGGGATTTCAACCCGAGGAACCCCCCTCCCCACCCCGGGATCCGCCACTGCCATGGTATTCGAAGTTTATATAACGTATTTATGATAGTTTTTTTCATGTTCCCTTATATATTCAGTGATATATTGCTGTTAACGAAAATATTGCTAAGTACACTAAGATGATGATAATACCTTACCGTAAACATATGAATCTAATAATGTGTTTTAGTAAAGATTTTAGGACTTTTGAAAAATGCCCTTGTTTTTATATGGATTTGTGGAAAATTGATCCTACCACCCCCTTGGATTTTTTAGGGAAGTGATAAAAATGTTTATTTCACATCGAAATAGATTTTTTAAAACCCTAAAAGAAAATGTAAGCAGGAGTTCTGAAAGGGTGGACGGCAGCCCACAAGAAGCTGAACGATTATAGTAAAATTGTTCTTGAAAAAAAGTGCTATTAACTCATATGTAAGCACATGCTTACAATGCTACACTGGTGCTACGCCATTGAAACCTTTATCATATTTTGTTAGAGTTTAAATGATATTGTCATGATTGTTGTCTCTAGAAAATATAACATCCATGAAAGATGAATTAAAGATTATGTAGTGGTAAGTTTTGGAAACATCCAAACGTCAACCTTTTCTCTTATGCGTCAATTTTTCATCTGTTTCAAAATTGTACTATGTTACGTATTATTGAATTGTTTTATATACCGACATCAATTTAACCCAGCTCCGAATAAAAGCATGTATTGATCAATCAATGTAAATAATCATAACAAACTTTTACACAGATAATCAGTACATGCGATATATATATCATACGGTAATTAGAGAAAGGTTCCGAGTCAAGTATTCCTTAGTTAAGTGAAGACTTAAGTAAATTTATGCATACGACTTAAGATTTTTACTTAACTAAGGGAATTCTTAGTGAAATCTAAGTATTAGATACAATAGAAAGGTAACAAAGAAACAGGCCGGTAACAACCGTTGCCGGATAGTTTTTCTGCAAGAGTAGTCAGGTGAAGGTCCGAGGCGATAGCCGAGGACCTTGACCTGACTACAAGTGCAGAAAAACTATACGGCAGTTTGTTTCCGGCCTGTTTTTTTTGTTATTTGTTTTGTATCTGACTTGTACGACGTTTCAAGAAAGAAGTAGTTAATGTAAGTTACATTTTAAACACAACTTTTTTCCCTTTCCCTTCAGCCGAGAGTTTTTTTCTCAAGAAATTCAAGAATCTAATAATTGTATAAAAAAAGAACCATGTCAAGTAAAAGATGAATGTCGTACACATTAGAGACTTTTTAAAATGCATCTTCGCAAGTAAGTAATGTATAAAAAAGATTTCAGAGGTAAGCAAGCTAACATTTGATTTTTATTTGGGGAAAAACGGAAAAGGTGGTTGGGGGTTAAAATAAATTTAAAATAAACAGGCTTGATCCTTTTTTAGTTGAAAAAATCCAGGATTTGCCATTCCATTCCCCCATTCCCCCTTAAAAAATAATAAAAATCGTACGTTTGCTCCCAAATATATGAATTCAATATATATGAATTCAATAAATGAATTCAATAACAATATAAATGTATAAAAAGAATGAATTTTCTATTTCATTACACTGTAAAAATGGTGTTTAGAGTCTAAACATAATCCTAAACGCGAATTTTGTTCTCACTTGAGCACATGTTTAACCCTAAACATGTTCTACTTTGTGCAAATGTTTAGGTTTAGAACACCATAATACTGTCCCCTAAGAACATGTTTAACCCTAAACATGTTTAACCCTCTAGAACATGTTTAGCCTCTATGTGTTCCTTTCCTAAACATGTTTAACCTCCATCATGTTCCAATCCTAAACATATTTAGCCTCCATCATGTTCCCATCCTAAACACGTTTAGCCTCCTTTATGTTCCCATCCTAAACATGTTTAACGGGCATATTTGTTCTCTAGTACTGGTAGTAAATACTTGTGTGACAAGAGTCATCCCATCAATCATCAAAGACCATACAATTACTCCAAAACTGATCTACTGTCGGTGTCTAACATTACATTGGAATCTTTAGATGTGCAAGCAGTTGCAACCTGAAACAGATTAAAACAATCCACAAAGTATCATGTTTAAAATACCTCAATTTTAATTGTACAGAAAGTGTTGGTACACGCGTGTCATTTTCTGTCTGATTGCTTCAATACTATACACGTTTCATATAATTTATTACAAGAATTATAATTAAATGTGCTTTATTTCATCCTTTAAGATATGTATGTAGTTTTGATATGCAAACTGGGAAGACGTAAATGGGTTCAGAACCTTATCGATGTAAAATATTTGCTTAAATATAATTATACAATACGTTTATTTGCGATTCCTTTTATAAATAATTTAAAGAAAACGTGAATCCACATGTGTAGATTTAAAACGAATTTAAAATAGTATGCCTAGCTCCCCCTTTTTGTCAATATTGTATCTAACCTTGTGGTGTTTGAAATATCCTGTAAGGACACTCTCTAGCTTCACCTAATTACATTGTAATAGACAGTTATATTAGATAATACTTATCTGACATTTCCGTTGTCGCTTTTTGAACCTTCCATGACATGGATTGTTGGTCTTCTGCATCCCGGAATTTCAATTTTTCAAATGCATGATTATGTGCGCACACGTAATTCTGCTTCCTAATGTTTGTTGTGTTCTAAACCTAAACATGTTTAGGCAATTGTCATGTTTAGCTTATAGTTATATATAACTTCAAGTGTCTTGTGTTCTAACCCTAAACATGTTTAGAGGAATACGAGTATCACGTTTAACATTGAAGTGTTTAGAATTAGAACACTATCCTAAACATGTTTAGATCTAAACATGTGCTCAAAGTGTTCTATCTCTTAACTCCTTATTTACAGTGTAGTGAATGAAATGTTATGAAAAAATTGATTTTTTTCTTGTTATTAGATATGTATAGTCATATATTTTGGATTTAAAAAAAAAAAAAATTCATACTTATAGGTTTTTATATGTCTCTTATGGTGTTGATCAGGAGTTAACAAGTGTCACAATATGATCCAATCGCAGCTTACCGTCCAAAATTGGTGACATAAGTTGAATGATTTTCTTCAAGATTTGTTGCCTATTTGAACATGTGTTACACGGACACTTTTTATTTATTGGATCAATCGTGCATTGGTGAGTTGATAGGGATTTTATCTTTTGATTAGATTTGATTTTTTTTATATATATATTACTTGTCTTTTTTATTGAAATATAAACGTCGGTACTAGCATTTCTTTACTTTCAGCATTGTCCAGAATACTATTCATGTCCATATATTGAAAGAAAAAAAAATACAATATGATCCAATCGCAGCTTACCGTCCAAAATTGGTGACATAAGTTGAATGATTTTCTTCAAGATTTGTTGCCTATTTGAACATGTGTTACACGGACACTTTTTATTTATTGGATCAATCGTGCATTGGTGAGTTGATAGGGATTTTATCTTTTGATTAGAATTGATTTTTTTTATATATATATTTCCTGTCTTTTTTATTGAAATATAAACGTCGGTACTAGCATTTCTTTACTTTCAGCATTGTCCAGAATACTATTCATGTCCATATATTGAAAGAAAAAAAAATTACGGACCGACATTTAGCTTCAAAAGGGGGGTATGTTTTTTAAATATTTTAATAAAAAAGACAGGAAATATGTCGGTGAAACAAATAGTTCAAATCTAATTGAAATTTAAAGTGCCCATGAACTCACTGATCATGCACGAGTGATTCTATTCATAAAAAGTGTCCGTGTAACAACTAAAAAGTGTCCGTGTATCATATTAAAAGTGTCCGTGTATCATATAAAAAGTGTCCGTGTAACACCCGTTAATGTACTGTTTTTCTATAGCTCTGCTGGGGGCAAAGTCGTACAAGTCTAAGGAACACTTAAGTTAAGATGTTTTATGCATACGGGCCAAGATGGTCAGAAGGGAAACTGAAAACAAGAAAAACCAAGATAAAAAAAACAAACAAAAATCATACTAGTAAACGTGATACCATCAATCTATCAGATGGGTTCCGCTAAGTGACAAACGTTATAATCTAGAATGAACGCGGTTGATAGTTTATAAAAAATATTTGATCAAAAACCCTTTGCCTATTTTACATGCCGGCGACTATAGACGTATATTTTCAAGTGCATTCCAAGAAAGAGTTTGAGGAACTCAAAAAAAAAAAAGGATGACGTACATTTTGTATTTCAATAAGGCAACCTTTTGACTTTAGGATGACAGCTCTATGTTTAAATCTAAAATAGGGATCCCTCTGTTAATGGAGTTTTAATATAACAAGCATAATATAAAAGAACAGAGTTCCAATGACCGATGCTTTGATTTTGCGCCAATTGGCATTTCATTTGCGCTAATTGGCATTTCATTTGCGCCAAATAATCTTTCATTTGCCCCACAAACCATATTTCATTTGCGCCAATAATACATGTAAATACAGGTAAATAGTATAAAAAATAGTTTTATTCAAAAGAGACTTTTAATAATAACTTTAAAACACAGTTTTTGATTGCATAATAAAACATATTCATCCGAAGTCAGTCATCGTAACCATTATGAAAGCACTAGACACTAAATTAATACGTTCCTAATAAGAGACTTTTCTTAATAATGTTAAAACACAGTTCTGTTATAAATTAACGAGATCATAAAACCTAAAAGAAAGCACTATACACTTGAGTAAAAACCAAGAGTTAAACTTTGTTCTGACATAAGACCTGTAAGCAACGGCTCGGATGTACTCATTTACGCTGGATAACCTATATGTGTAGTAATATAAAAATACAGATTTATTTCCTGTATATACAAATAAGGAGATGTGGATTGATTGCCAATGAGACAACTATCCACCAAAGTTCAAATGAAGTGGATGGAAGCCATCATAGATAACCGTACGGCCTCCAAAAAACATTCCGCATAGTTGGCTATAAAGGGCTCCAACATGATAAATACGAAACAATCCAATTCTGAGAAGACTAACGGCCTATTTGTCTCAGAATTGACAATGTCCATCTTGACAACTCAAATATGTGAACACTATATAATTTTAAGCCTAAGTGACTCTCAGTTTTATATTAAAAAAATAGTATGAACTTACTTTGTTACCCAGGGAGAATACTTACAAAAAAATCTTATTCACGATGTAGCAATGAATATTTAAAACTTTTCCGTTATATGTTACCTGTAAAATGGCGCAAATGTAGTTTTAATTTTTTTGGCGCAAATGAAATTTAACATTGTGGAGCAAATGAAAGATTGAAATTTGCGCAAAGCCCCCAATGACCCCCGCGTTGCACATATTTTATATGTCCAAGGGCAATAAAATAAAAAACACCTTTGTATTGGTTCTGTAAAACGTTTAATAACTATCTTATAGAAATGATAGCTTGAGAGCAAATGCAATGCAATTTACGACATGATTAATTTTTCCAAGGGGCTAACCTCTTGGAACACGGATTTTCGAAAATATCCGAAACATTGCTGATATAAACCTTTGATATAAATTTCATAAAAATCTGGCAAAAAATTGTACACGTGAGAGCACTGAAAATGCAATTTTCCATGTCATTAATATGTTCAAGTTTGGGAAAAAATTTGTCTAAATCTCAGTAAAATGGATATTAATAGAAAAGTAAAGGAATTTCAATAGAAATGTATACATAGGATAATATCCGAAAACAGACTGCAAATAATGCATATGTCAAACGGAAAATGTCACTTGTGTGATGAAAATAATAATATTGCAATTCTTGAGCATTTACTTATCAATGTAACAATGGCTAGGCTCAAGCTAGCAGCCACTCCGCTAGCAGCCAGTTTTCAGATATGCCTATAAACCCAAAAGTTGCATAAGACTCAAATGTTTTTCTATACTATATATATAACGCTTTTTAGTTTAACAATCGAAGACACTATGAATGCGTTTTAGGGGTGGATCCAAGAATTTTGAAGGGGGAAAAGGGAGGGGGGGGGGGGAAATGGCAAAAAACGATATATAAATATATATATACCGCCGAATGGAGGGATACAAAAAATTGTTGGACGATTTTATGCAAAAAATAAGAAGATATTTTTCCGTTGGAAGAGGAGGGTGGCGTACGCCCTCCACGCCTAATCTGAATCCGCAACTGACATTTACATTTTCATTTCTTAATCAAGAATTAAAAGACATTTGTATATTTTATCAGCACACCGCGCTGCACGCGTTGAAAAAGTGAGACATAGATAAAAAAATATATACATAGTACACTGCAAGAGTGGAGAAATAAGGAAATACTTTTTTAAAACACAATGTTAAGCAGAATTTTTTTCGCAATTTAAATTGTAACCCTCAAAAACATGGAAATGTGGAATACAATTTTTGTTAAAAATCTTTAAAAAATATGATTTACCTCCCTTTAAAACTTACTACTTTAGAATAATTAAAATATTAGGTCTTCTTTGATGCGTAAAACTACAAATACTTGTATCATAAGGTGTCAAACATTTATTCATTAAATATTAATGATCATGTAACAAACAGTTACAGAAATTATATATAATTAAGCTAATTTCGGTTTCATTTTATGCCTATTTCATGAGACTCATTGTGAATATTCATGAAGTTCGAATAACATTTTCACAGCTTCGGAAACACATTCAGCATTTATCCACAAATGATATCAGAAGGAAAGGACTACTATCTATACCATTAAACGAGAAGACCTCATGTTGTGTGTCGCTTCTCTTCCTTCCACAATAAATTAATCATCATGCATCAGTGTCCTATAGGTACCATGCATAGTCGCATTTGTCATCCTCTCTTATGATTATTCAGTTTGGGTTATTTTGGGAGGAAAACGAAAATAAAGGCGTCCGGATATTGTTTCCGTCATCGGACGGACTTTTAAGTCATAGAAAAGACTTCCGTTTAGGACTGTTTTAGAATTACACATAATTTTCATAGGGGACAGGACAATTATTTTCGCGTTTTTCTGTATACTATGATCATACATATACTATAAATAAAGTGTATTTGCTATTTACTATCTATTCCAAGTTTACTATCCACGGCTGTCACTGATATATTATATAGAGAGTCTCTATATTATATATCAGTGACCACCGGTGGATAGTAAACTTGGAATTGATAGTAAAATAGCAAATACACTATATTTAAAGTATAGTTATGTTCATAGTATACAGAAAAACAGAAAACAAAAATTAACGGACTTTGGAATAAAAGGGGGAAGTCTAAAAAAAATTGTCCTGTCCCCAAGTACCAATGACTTTTGATACCTTTCCTGAAAAAAATGGAAAACAACACGTTTAATAATTTCATGCGTCCGAAGCGCTTTCCTGGATTTACCTTCATCTCCAGTCATGAATCTTTTACAAAAATTCATCCTACAACAGTTCACATACCTTCAATTACGCTCTTCGTTCTAGTTTACTTTTAATTCTGTTGGTGAATTTTAGTTAGTTTGAACTGAATATAAGCAATGAAATGAATAAGCTGTCATAGACAAAGCGAGAACTAAACATAACCCATCTTGTCGAAAACAGGATGAAATGAATATTCTATCCAAAATAAAGAATTATTGTGTACGAAATCGAAAGTAAATTTTTGCGCGGCTTTGCCGGCCTCAAAAATTACTATTGTGAAGCTAGCCGGCGATAACAGTCGGCACCTTTCTATCCAATCTGCAAAAATATTCATGAGCCTGCGATAATATTCATGAGATGACCTGGGTTCGATTAAGCGTTGTAAGGAAATGTCGTTTATTAGGATAAAATCATGTTTGCTGTTTATATTTGATATTGCTATAAATAACAATAAAATCTGAACACTATGGGTGTCTTCTTCGAGGTCTGCGTTTACTTAATCAATTATAAAAGGGGAACGCTTACGGAGAACCGATAATTACAAATATTTTTTCGGTAAATTATATAAAATGCCAATTGAAACATCAATGAATAGCCTTTTATATAAAAACATTAAGCTGAACCATAAATACAATCTACAGATGCTTCTCGGTAAAGACACGTTCCATATAGAATTACAAAATGGTTGTTATTAAATTCTCTTACATGCCGACGTGACATTTTTTACTGGTTTTGAATCACTTTCATAATTATACAGTACTCCTATTATAAACAATCGTTTTCGACCATATTTAACAGCTCAGACTAAAAGGTAAGACCAGGTACCCCTACCCTATGCTGACAAACTGGTACGGATAGGGCATAGGTTCTATGAGCCACTTTAAAGGCAACAACTGGTACCAACGTGAATAATATCTAGGTTTGGCCAGCCGACAGAGGTGAAGTTGGACTATGTGACATATCAGGATACAAGGACCCCCCCCCCCCCCAAACCACCAAACATGTTAACAAACTCTAAAGCAACACACCCTTCGTTTAATAGTGACAAGCTCGTATGGGTCAAGGGCATAAGTGCCCAGAGCCATGTTAGAGGCAATGTCTTCATCTTCTTCTTGTTTCATGGCCAACGTGGTGAATCTCTTAGTGTGGCCAGCCGGCAATAGTTAAGTCGAATTATGTGACATACCCGGTAACCCGACTCCCTCGCCCTATGCTGACACAATTAGTTTGACTTGCCAGCAATAGTTAAGTCAGAGTATGACATACTAGGTATCCCCACCCCATCCTTCGCCCAAAGCTGACAAGGTCTTAAGGGTCAAGGGCATAAGTCATAAGGGCCATTTTAGAGGCAATGTCTTCTTCTAATTCTTGTATCATGACTAACGTGAATACTATCTAGGTTTGGCCAGCCGACAGTAGTGAAGTTGGACTATGTGACATATCAGGATACAAGCCCCCCACCCCAACTACCACTCATGCTAACAAATACGTACGGGTCTAAAGCATACGTGCTATGGGCCTTTTTAAAGTTGGACAATGAGAGGTCCCCCTAATCCAATACTGA